ACTTCTTAGCCCAGAAAAGTAGTATGCAGAGTTTTTCTTCTTGTTTTATAATAAGCTACCAAGATGCCCTTCAAGTAATAATGTTAATAAGTTAGCACACATATATAAAAGAATAAAACTCACTGAGTGCTATGAGTTGCTGGCTTTGTGTGGCCATCAGCCAGAGGGAATCCCAGGCACGTGATAATATTCAGTAGTTTTAAAAATAAAAATGAAGGAAGATTTTAATTAACAAATGATGCATTCTCCTTGTCTTGAAGGAGACCAACCGCTTGACAGTCAGCAGGGCAGGGCCTTCAGTGCTAACAATATTTTCACAGAATTTTTCTTCCCCAAGTGAGACAATTCTAGATGAGTGACCCACTAAAATGCAGCACTTGAAGGAGCTCAACTCTCATCTTTCTAAAAGTTCAGGAGTCAAGAAGAGAATGAGAAGACAAAGTCACAGACTGGAAGAAAATGTCTGCAAAAGACACTTCTTGTTAAACGACTCTTACCTGAAACATACAAAGAACTCCTAAAACAATATGGAAACAACCTAATTTAAAAATGGGCTATCATCTTAACAGACACTCACAGAAGAAGATACATATTTGGTAAATAAGTATATGAAAAGATGCTCCACGTGGTATGTCCTCAGGGAAAGGCAAGTTAAAACAACAAGGAAACACACTTATAAGAATGGCCAAAAACCAGAACACCAAGGATGCTAAAGGCTGGCCAGGATGTGGAGCAACAAAAAATCTCATTCATTGTTGGCAAGAATGCAAAATGGCACAGCCACTTTGGAAGACAGTTTGGCCATTTCTTACAAAACTAAATGTATTCTTATCATATGATCCAGCAATCACACTCCTTGGTATTTACCCAGAGGAGGTGAATATCCATGTCCACACAAAAATCTGCATGCAGGTGTTTATAGCAGCTTTATTCTAGTTGCCAAAACTTGGAAGCAACCAAGATGTCCTTCAGCAGGTGAATGGATAAATAAACTGTGGTACATCCAGACAATGGGATTGTATTCAGCACTAAAAAGACATGAGCTATCAATCCATGAAAAAACATGAAAGAAATTTAAATGCACATTACTAATTGAAAGAAACCAATGTGAAAAGGCTACATACTGTATGATCCAACTATAGAATATTCTGGAAAAGGCACAACCTTATGGAAACAATAAAAAAAAAAAATCAGATGTTTCCAGGGATTGGAGTCAGGGAAGGGCTGAATGGGCAGAGCACAGTGGATTTTTTAGGGTAGTGAAAGTACCTTGTATGATACTGTAATAATAGATACATGTCCTTATACATTCATCCAAATGCATTGACCGTATAACACCAAGAGTGAGCCCTAAATTGAAAGTCAAGTACAAGTTTTGGGTCACAATTATGTGTCCACATAGGTTAAACAATTATAACAAATGTTTCACTTTGGTGGGGGGGAGTATTGGTAATGGGGGAGACTAGGCATGTCTATAAGGACAGAGCCATGCAGAACATCTCTGTACCGTCCTCTCAATTTGGCTGTGAACCTAAAACTGCCCTAAAAAAATTAAGTCTTAAACACACACAAGCATACACACACACACACACACACACAGGGAAAGGAAAAAGAGAAAGAACTGGGTTAGCACAGAAAAGAGGGGGCCTTGTCACCAGCCCACGTAGGGCGGCTTAAAAGTCTGTAAAAAATGAGTTGGCCTGAAAAAAATGGGCAATGTCATCACCTGAGAAGATCTAGCCCTGAATTTGGGTGGCTCATCATTACCAAGTCATCAGTTTAGTAACAACAACTATATATAACAAACAATAATAATAATAACAAAAGAACTAAGATATCTTGAGCACCAATTATGTACAAGCACCGTTTTAGGCAAGTTAAAAGCACAGAACTCATTGAATCCTCACAAAACCCTATAAAGTAAATCCCATTGTCATCTCCATTTTGCAGACAAGGAAACCAAGGCACAGAGAAGCTAAGCCATTTTCCCCAAATCACCCTACTAAGAATTGTCAGGGCAAGGACTCAAATTCAGGCTGCCTGGCTCCAGGGTGCATGCCACTCCATTATGTCATTGCAACTATAATTTGTCCCAAATGCAGGGAAAGAGAATGTCAAGATACAAAATAGCAAGAACTAACAGTTGTGTAGGCCTTATGCAGGGCTGTTTGCTTTATCAGCCTTATCTCATTTAGTCCTCACCAAAAAAAAAAAAAAAAAAGAAAGAAATGTATTATTACCCTATTCCACATATGGGAAACAAAGAGAATTTATGAAGGTCACTAACTGGTAAATGGCGTAGCCAGTGGCCAGACTCTAGCACCCACAGCATCATTTCTCACACCATGCCACCTCTCTGTTGGAAGCAATCTATGGTTCTCTAAGCAATCTACGGGGTGCTTGATGACATGGAAAGAAGGCCTGCCCCATGGCATGACCTCTTTTCCAAAGACCATGTAGGAAAGAAAGGCAGGATGGTGGAACAGAATGAAAGGAGACTTTGAAATCAGACAAACCTGGGTTGAAATCTCAGCTCCAGCAATCATTATGTAACCTAGGATATAGCTCTCCATGTTCCCTGACATGTACAAATGGGATGAAACTCCTCTAACCACCATGGTGACCATGAAGGTCATATGAAACAGCATGTGGAAATGCTAGTCCTTGGAGACTTTCCCATCATCTACCACCCCAGATCCATTCCCTTGACCACACAGGGGGGCCCATAAATGCATAGGAAGTCCATCTCTGCTCAGGTAGTCTGCCTGCCCTTCTTGCGCTGAGTCATAATGTCTTCTTGGCAAACACCAAAAGTAAAATTGCACAAATATGAGTTCTCTAAATTAGGACCACATTCCCTTGACTCCAAGCATTTGCCCTGGGAGCCATCAGGAGCTCCAACCATGCCGCAGCTCTGTTAATGAGGTTGCCAGAAACCAACGTGGTGGAGAGACCAAGAGGGCATGAAATCATTACTGACATTGCCAGTTTGGCCTAACAGGGACGCAGGGTTTCAGTTGAAAATACCACAAAGCAAATTAAGGCCTTGCAAATGTTTAGATCAATTGGGGACTGTATGGTTTTGTTTGGGGCTTGGGGTTTGTTTTGTTTTTTGCCCTTACCAAAAAAAAAAAAAAAAAAAAAAAGGATTCGAACTTAAAATCACATAGCAGAATTTTTTCAATAAAAATACAATTTTAAAAAGCAACTAAAATTCTAATGGTATTTAAAAATTTTGGCTGATAGCCTTGCTCCTTAAGTCATTCCTTCTGTTTGTACATACTCAGTCTCTTTCGGTTCCCTACTAGTCATATATAACACAGTTTAATCGTTTTAAATGGTCCCTTAGTTAAGCATAAATAGATTAAACAAACTTTAAAAGCTTCCAGGAACAACTCTTTATTGCAGGTGTTTTCTTTATTTTCTATCCCAATCTTATTTAGAGGGGCTTTAAATCAGGGCTGGCAAACTACAGGCCATAGGCTAGATCTGGCCCTTTGTCTTTTTTCATAAATAATGTTTTATTAGAACACAGTTATGCCCATGTGTGTTGTCTATAACTGCTTTTGTGCTACCAAGGCAGAGTTGAGTAGTGGTAACAGAGACTATCTGCACCTGCAAAGCCTAAGATATTTACTATCTGGGTCTTTATAGAAAATGTTTGCCAACAGTTGCTTTTTTTTTTTAAGATTTATTTATTTTAGTGGGAAATTTTAGCATGAGTGGGAGGGGCCAAGGGAGAGGGAGGGAGAATCTGAAGCGAACTCCACACTGAGCACAGAGCCTAATGAGGGGCTCAATCTCACGACCCTGAGATCAGGACCCTGAGATCAGGACCTGATCCGAAACCAAGAGTCAGTTGCTTAACTGACTGCACCACCCAGGTGCCCCTGTCAATGCTTTCTTTAAAGCAAGTACTAGAGAAGAGAGTTGTACAAAATATTTCATAGCACTTATCTCTACAGTAATTAAATAACTCTCTGTCTGTTAATGCCTGTTTGTCCTGCTGTGTGTGAGTCCCTCGAGAGACAAGGACCATGTCTATCTGGTTCAATATTTTCTTCCCGAGGCCTGAGCACAGAGACTGGCACACAGTATACACATAATAAATATTTGTTGGGTGAATGAATTAAGTTGCTAGACAAGTTTTGAATTCTTGAGAGTTCTTAAGAACATGACTCATAGTAAGTTCTCGATAACTATATGCTTGCTAAATAATCAATTGCATGGACTTTACATTTAGAGAATGGATATGTTTCCAAGACATTTAATGATCAAGACAAATCCTTGTCTGTATTATGATGAATCTCTTCTACACCACACCATTGGTACCCATCCTCTCTCTAACTTCACAAAATCCTCTTTGTCTCAGGCCCTGATATCTGAGGCTTGGCTCTCACGGTACCCGTCTCATTACTGATTTGCAAGGCTGGTCCTCCATCCTGTGGAATCCATCTGTGCTTCACAGTGTGATTCCCAATGGCCTGCAGGGGATCTAGGGGTAAGCTCAGCCCAGCATGCATCCCCAAGGTGCATGGGCAGTCAGCCCACTGACACTTACATACAAGAGAAACCGGAAGCAGACGCCATCCGATTCTAGAAGGACTCAGAGAGGACTGAGTGGAAGAGGCCTTCTGGTCTACCACTCACAAAATGTATTTGCCCTTTCAATATGGAAGGTGGTTTAATATGAAGATGAGAGAAGTCTGACTCTCAAAAAGGCAGTAAGATTTGGAAAAAGAACTAAGAACTTGAGAGTCAGACAGACTTGAGCAGGGATCCAAGCTCTAATACTTATTAACTGGGTAAACTTGAGCCAATTAATTTTCTCTGAGATAAAAATGCCTTAAAGGCAAATGGAGGTAAAATGAGAACATTGCAAGGGCATCGTGATAGATTTAAGGTGCCCAATAGTGACAGGTACTATATAAATTTAACTGCTCTTTCCCCTTCATAATTTAATGCCACAAAGAGAATGATCTTTGGAAATTTCTACTTACCAAGCATTCCTTTTTTGGAACTGGACAGACACATGTCCTTCTCTGCACTGGGCAGGACAAAACTCACCACGAACACCTCCACTCCATCAGCCATCAGAGCCAAACCCAAGACAAAAAAGAGGATCCACTGGAAACGCCCGTGGCCACACTCATCAATGATGGTCTCGTACTGGTGGGCCAACTGCTCCTCATCTTCCATCCTCTCGGCCATCAGGTCAGTCTGGCCCCGAAGGTCATCTGCCCTGGAGGGTGCCATCTTGGCCTGCTTGGCCTTGACATCATCTGGGTGAGGGATGCCCTGGTACTCGCCTTCATAGATCTCATCCTCCTCATCGTGGCCTTCTGTAACATCGCTCTGTGCATCCTCCTCTGGGTTGGACTCATTGCCACGGTAATAGCCATCATTGGGGGCATACCCCTCATAGTTGTCCTGATACTTGTAGTCATCCATTCCTTGGTTCCGGGACTGCCGGGTTGCCTCTCGAGCTATATCTCTTGCACTGTGGTAGAGGTTTGGGCTGTTTCGATAACCATCATCCATTATATGTGCAGAGGCGTTAAAGGTAGAATCTGTTCGTGTGACTTCTTGGGCGATTCTCCCCCTTATCTCCCAAACAGAGCAGATTTATGCAAAGACAGTGTAAGTATCCTTTTGCATTCAGTGTATATTGGAAGTTTTTGGAAAGTTTCAAATTCTGGTCTGGTCTCCTTCAGTGACCCAGCAGAGTTTTGTGGGGAGAGGTTGATTAGAAATGGGGTCAGCTGTTTTCCTTGACAAGAAGCCCACAGGATTTGGCAGCTTGCTAGCTGGCCTGATTTGTTCTGCCACTGAAGGTTATGCCCTGGGAGTAGAGAAAAGGGAAAGAAGAGTGTTATAAAATGAAGAAATTCTTAAAATACTCTCAGAATTAAACAAATATGTTTACACATGCCAGCGCTTCAGGTGCTAGGTGGAGGAAATCTTGATTAGACATTTGGATTTGTATCAAATGAATAAGGACTGAATCAGTGAGACAAAGGGGAAGGGAAGAAACAACAGTGGTCAGGGAGGTCTTTGGAGGTGCTGATTAACTTACGAAAAGGGTCAACTCTTATGCAAGAAGGAAGCAGAAAGTGGGCAAGGGATTCTCAATACAAGACGATATTGTGTTACGGGATTTTCTGTTAGAATTTATCAAGCCTTTGGCAACAGGACAGATTTATTACAGCTCAGCTTCTGTTAGAAAAATGCCAGCTTTTCTAACTTTGTTATGAGGTTGCTACACGATTTTTATATCTAGAATACTGTGGCAAACCTCCAGGACCATTTCTCCGAAGGCCTGGCTCACTTGGAGACTCAGCACTTTGATGGTTTGAGGGCCCCCCTGACCTTGTACTTGGCATAACCGGGGAGGAAACGCTGCTGAAGACCCAGAGCCGGAAAGCTTGATGCTGCCACATCAGGGCTGCATGACCATTCTCATGCCCCTCTGAGGCTCTGTTTTCTCATCTGTAAAATGGGGATAATAATACTAGCTACCTCACGAGGTTGTTCATAAAATGCTTGGGACCTGTGTGGGAAATATTATTTTAGCCTTGACATGATTGTCACTCTTTTTTTATTCCTAGTCCCAAATGTAGAAACCAGGACCCAGTATTGTCAGAGCCAAGGTCAATCCCCGACGCCGCCTGCTGATTCTCACGCCCAGCGACTGGCACACCCTGTTCCAATCACATCCTTAGAATCTCAGTTCTCACAAGGTTTGGAGCCACCACTTCATGAAGCCTACTGTGTGCCAGAAATTGTGCTAAATGTGTCACGTCCCTTCTCCCTAACTGTCACAATGATCAAAACAACAAGAAGAAAGTATTTGTACTTTCATTTTACAAAGAAACTGTGGCTCAGCTGGAGTTAGGTCAAGATCAAACAACTAAAACTCAACGCCAGACCCACTGATTCCCAAAGTCAGTTCTTTCCATGGTCCCTGTGCTTCCCAAACGCCATCCAGAGGGACTGTCACATAGATTACCTGGAGGGCTTTAGAATGCAGATTCCCGAGCATGCAGAGGGGCTGGTTCAAGCTCAGGGGTCTGAGTTTTCACACAGCTCCCCAGAGGGACACGGAGGCCCAGGTGCTCCCTGAGCAACCCTCAGGGGTGGAGGCAGGGCCCCTCCCAGACACCTGACCCCACTTCAGCTCTCCCTGGCTGCTGGACCCCTTCCCTGGGGCTGCCAGAACTCACTCCCCAGCTCAACCCACCTACTGTTGTGTGTATGTGCTGTCAACTTTTACAGGCCTCCCTGTCCCATCTGAAATCCACACAGACCTTTTGCCATGCTCAGCAGATGCCATCCCACAATGGACTGGACACACTCATCCCCCTGCCCCACGCCTACCTGCCTGGCTCTCTTCACCTTCAGCCCTGGACAGACTCCAGCTCTGGAACTCAGTGACTCAAAAACAAAACACAGGGGCACCTGGGTGGCTCAGTTGGTTAAGCGACTGCCTTCGGCTCAGGTCATGATCCTGGAGTCCCAGAATCGCGTCCCACATCGGGCTCCCTGCTCAGCAGGGAGTCTGCTTCTCCCTCTGACCCTCCCCCCCATGTGCTCTCTCTCTCTCTCTCTTAAATAAATAAATAAAATCTTAAAAAAAAACAACAACAACAACACATATTTCTTCTGGGCGATGCCAGAGACGAGTGGTTCTCAAACGAAGGGTGGGCCAGAACCACAGGGGCTTGAGGAACTTATTAGAAATGCAAATCCCAGGACCCCTCCTCCAAAGACTCAGAACTTGCAGAGTGGTGGGTGGGACCTGGAAACCTACATTTTCCACAAATATTCCAAGAACCCCAGTGGACGGCCTTCTCAGGAACAGTGTCATAAGAGACAGCAAGAAAGATTTACTAAGGACTGATTCTCACTTTATCTTTTCAGATTTTTCACCATCCCCAGTAAATAAATTTGTATTGGACCATGCTGGCCTGAACCATGTCAGATTAATATTCTAAATCTGTTTTTATTATATCCATTTAGGAACCACAGGGAATATAAATCACATGTAAACAGCATGAGAGTTTTGCAGAGTGCTATTAAAAAAAAAAAAAACAGAAAGAATGCCAACTGCCTGAGATCTGGTGTGTTATTTCCATCCTGCGGGCTCTGCAAAAAAATGTCATGAACCAGAAATGATAGATTTGCAATTCTAAAAGTATATGTGGGAAATGTCACAAGGGGCAGAGGTCCTGGGACTTGCTTTGTGAAAAGAAGTAGATCTTTGTCGAATCCAATTCCACTCATCTGATCCAGTGAAATGCGCTTCTGCGAATGGCAAGTGCATTCGAGTAGGGAGGAGTCACTGTTGGGTGTTGTGGGGTCATTTTCTCTTCCATTGGGAAAGGCCAAGTTATTTTTCCAGCAAAGCATTTTCCAGAGAATACAACCATTAATCACTTTCAATGTTATGGGTTGAAATGTGAATCCCCAAGAAGGTATATTGAACTGCTAACCCCAGTACCTCAGAATGTGACCTTATTTGGAAATATGGTCTTTCTAGAAGTAATTGAGTTAAGATGAGATCATTAGGGTGGTCTCTAATCCAGGATGACTGGTGACCTTATAAAAAGGGGAAATTTGGACTCAGACACCGATCTGAATAGAGTGAAGATGACATGACACGGGGACAGTGTCATCTACAAACCAAGGAATGCCTGAGGCCACCTGAAGCTAGAAGAGAAGTCTCTCTCACTGCCCTCCGAAGGAACCAACCCTGATTTCAGATTTCTAGTCTTCAGAACCATGAGACGGTGAATTTCTTCCTTTAAGCCACACACTTTGTTGTACTTGGTTAAGGCAGCCCCAGGAAAAAAATTCACTCAACAACATTAACAAGCCGAGTATTTATCACCTAACCAGCAATAACAGAATAAGCATGAGAGCACCTATTAACTGAAAAGCAATAATTGTTTAACCTCACAGCCAATCGTGAAGCAAAACCATTCTCTCCATTTCATGGATGCAGAAAACTGAGGGCTAGGGAGGATTAAAAAAGGTGTCCAAGTTAACACAGAGAACTGACCATCAGGGATTGGATTTGAAGCAGGTTCACAAAGAACCTTAGGGAGGGGTACAACGGGAAGAGACTGGACTCCAAAGAGACAAGTCAAGGTCACATGCGAGTTGTCTACACAGCCAAGAGGAGCATCAAGGCTCTGACCCCCAGGTTAGGCTTTGTGCACCCATCCTCCACGAACATCCCCCAGAATCTCTGGTGCTTCAGGCAATGTGATAGATACAACATGACCTGAACCCCATTCTCAAGACATCTGCCCCTCATGGAAGAGTCAGAGGAAACAATGCAAAGCATCATGCAATAATAAAAATGACAATCTTAATTATTAATAATAGTATCTTTTATAAAACTTGCCTTGTGGCTTTGTGCCAGGTACTAGGCTGAGTGTATCGTGTGTATCCTGGTCTTTTAACCAGGACAGCAACCCTATGAGGCAAGGACTATTATTACGAATTCATTTCACAGTAAACGAGATTGATGCTGAAGATGTCACAATCGTAGGCTCTCCCAGGGGGTTCAGAAAAGAGACAGGTTGTTATGGGCTGGGATGTGCTGGAACAGCATCCTAGAGGCTGGGGACTGTTTAGGGCAGAAAAGGGCTTAGAGAAGCCAGAACAGAGGAGGCCACTGCACGCTGGAGACCAAGATCAGCAAAGTCATGGAGGAGAACATGACTTAGCTTGTTTGGGCAGCAGTGAAGCACCTGCCTACAGCAGTCGATCCAAGGAGGGAGACTTACAGCGATACAGTGGGGAAGTGAAGAGCAGTCAGTCCGAATGCCCTGCTCAGGGACTGGGAATCCTCCTTTGACCAAAGGGAGCCATGACAGTTGTTGAAGTGAGCAGAGCAGTGTGTCACACAGAGCAGGGATCTAGAAAGATCTCCCTGGTGGGGATAGGTGACCTGGATTTTAAGAGAAAACCTGGGAACAATGAAACTAGGTAGAAGTTTTCATGGCGGGGAGGGTAATAACCCAGAGGTGTGGTGAGGCCAGGACAAAGGTGGTGGCCGTGGGACTGGAAGAGAAGGATGGACGCGAGGAGACTCCCACAGGAGAACAGATGATGCATTTCCTGTCAGTGGACAAGGAGAAGGTGAGGCAACCAGGAAGGTGGTGATGTTCGGGAAGCAAACTCTATACTGGAAATCTTTCCGGAATCCTCCAGTTGCTGTATAATTAAAACAAACAAAAATCTTTTTCCAGACTTCTTTCAGATTGCCTTTTTGGTGGGGTGGTGGGACACAGAGCACAAACTCTGGCATCAGAGGGGCCCCAGAGGGGTCCCAGTTCAAGTCCTGACTCTGCCACGCCCTATGACCTGAGCTCAAGCTCTTCACCACTCCGGGCCTCAATTTTCTTATCTATAAAATCGTTGTAACAAAAGCACGCACGTGAGATAATCCGCAAAGA